GCGGGGTTTTTGCGGCGGCGGGACGCGCTTTAGGGCCAGGCGGAGCCGTGCGGGGCACAACGTGCGGGGCCTCGGGAGCCCCGCGGGGGCTGCGGCGCTTCGGGGATCCCGGCCCCGCTGCAAGCCCCGGGGGGGCAGCGGCAGAGGGTAGGAGGGCTGCCAGCAGGAGAGGGGCCCGCTATTCACGGGGAAGAAGGGATGCAAAGGCCGAAGGGACCCGCGCGTGGCCGTGCGGGGCTGCACAGCGCGGGGGTGGGGGTGTTACTGCCTGGGGACGGTCTCATGTGACACCTTGTTTGCATCACTTTTCCCTTCTGTTTTGTTTTGTTTATTTTTTTCTCGGAAGGGATCGGTGCCGTGGTGGCAGCGAGTCCCTGGTTAGCTGCTGGTTACTGCTGGTTACTGCTGGTTACTGCTCGCTGGGCGTTAGTTCGTGTGGGGTGGGTTGGGTTTGCACGGGACCTCCCTGGGCATCACATCACGTTTTGTGTGCTGTTCTGGTGACTGTGCAACCAACACACATCCAGCCAAAAGGGTTGCCAGGGTCTTCCTCTCAAGTAATCACAGAATGGTTTGGGTTGGAAGGGACCCTAAAGACCATCTAGATCCAACCCCCTGCATGGGCAGGGACAGCTCCCACCAGACCAGGTTGCTCCAAGCCCATCCAACCTGGCCTTGAACACTTCCAGGAGTGGGGCCTCCACAACTTTCCCGGGAAACCTGGGCCAGTGTCTCAGCACCCTCATAGAGATGTCTACAGGAAAGGAAAGGAGGGGGAAGGAGGGAAAGGAAGGGCAAGGAGAGGAAAGGATGGCAAGGAAGGGAAAAGAGGGGCAAGGAATGATGTGTCCAGCAGCCCCTAGGGATGCTCATGTCTTTCTTCTTGCTGGGGAGGAATTTTAAGGGACTTAGGGAATTATGTGTTTAAATACCTTAGCAGGTAACTGAGCCAAAGCACCTGTAATGTGCCCCATCCAGGAAACCTGCCAGCCCAGTGGTGCAGAGGGTTTGTTGCTAACTCAGCTCTGGGTTCAAAGAATTGCAAACTGTCAGTGCTGGTGTGGCTGAGTGGGATGAATGGGGACACGAGGCAAAAGCTGGGGATGAAGCAGAAGGAATTGTGTTGTGACTGCATGTTTAGTGCTCTGGGGCTGAGAGCTGCCTGTTTCTCCTGCTATCCCCCAGGGCCAGTGACTTTCTCACCTCTGCTTGCTGACATCCTTCCTGCCTCTCCAGGTACCAGATACTGGGTTTGGTTTGGGTTGGGTTTTTTTCCCCTCTCATATTGTCCAACTGATTACCATAATGACTTGTACAACTGGTGTCTTTTCTGCATGGGAAAGGTGCAACGGGTGTTTCCAGGAGGTGCCTGGGAAACAGCACCTGCAGGTGGAGCAGCCCGGAGCCTTGCTCTACACAAGAGGAAGGACCATGGCCAGGTCAATCTTCCCCAGACAGTTGAACTGGCCTCAGGGCAGCAGCAGCTTCTCACGGTTGGAATCCTACAGTCAGCTCTGTGAGACCTGCTTGTCCTGTCTGTGCCACCTGCCTCCAAAGCACAGCAACAACCTCCCTCAGTCTGGAATCTGGTGAAGGTGTGAGTGACATCATGTCACTGGTCATGTCAGGGTACATAACAGGCTCAGAGTCAGCAACAACATTTGGAAGTACTGGATGGTAATTTCTTCAGTGGCTTTACAAAGTTCTGCCTCCACCCACAATGCCTGCAGTTTATAACCAAGCACTTACTGAATAAACTATTAATTATTCAAGATATTTCTCCGTAATTACTATTGCCAGACACACAAGATGCATTGCTGACAACGTTGCCAGTTTTTTGACTAGCCATTAGGACAGGATGGGGATTTACATTGGCCTTCATTAATAAACTACAGAACTATCTCAAATTATCCTTTTTTAACAGCCTTGTATTTACCAGCAAGGAGTTGATTCTCTTGTTACGCTGATCCTGGCTTGACTGTCAACCTGTGGGCTTCTTATTCACCTCTTGTCCTGTGGGGGCTGCGAGCGGGAATTCCCTGGGAACAGGGAAGTCCTGGCACGCCTGGGAGCCTTCCTGACAGCGTGGCCCCCAAAGCTGCTGGTCGAGTCCCAGAAGAGAGATGCTCCCGGCTGTGGTGGCTTTATTTTACCTCCACAATGATGGAGCCGGTGAGCCACCCTCCCCAGCCCTTCCAGGGCTGTGTGGAGCAACAACCCCGGTGGCTCCCAGACCAGAGGGAAGCGCTGGGGCTGCTGCTCTCCTGCCCAGCAGCCCGTCCTGTGGGACCTGCACGTCCCTCGTGCCCAGGCCCTCGTCCTTCGTGCCCGGCCCACCCTCCCAGGCCCCCAGCCTGCCCTGCATGGCCAGCCCACCGTCCTGCGGGGACAGGCCACCCTGCCCGGTCCGGCCGGCCCACCTTCCCGGCCAGCCCACCCCCCAGGCCC